GATGTAGATATGGAATCAATAATTGAGATGGCATTGTAGTCAATAAGCACATCGCATAAGATCGTAAGTCCGTTGGAATTTGTGAACTGGCACGTAAACCGACCTAAAATATGAAAAACAATGAGAAACAAAATAAAATATTAATAATACAACAAAGAATAACACAGAACATACATGCTTAAGAAGCCCAAGTGCTAACAAAGGCAACATTTTCAGATTATTACAAATTTGTAATTGGGGCGAAGCTCCTTGAGACCCAGTAATAGCTGATTTGTATACGCCAAAAATATCAATCAACTTATTTGTTAACGCATCTCGTGCATCTTCCAATTTTGAAGATAACGACCTTTCCACCGCTTATTAGAAGAAAAAAAGAAAAAACAAAAAAATAATCAAATTACGCATGAATTTTTGATATTTATCAAACATCACTTTAGGTTTACCTTTATTTGCCAATAATGTCAATATAGCTATTTGATCGGCTGAAGCATAAAGTTCGCTTATACTATTTGTAACTGGCAATGATAACGTTAACACACGAATCCTTCTTTCACCTATATATATTTTTTAAGAAAAAGAGGTATCTATGAAGTTGAAATGGTTCGCTTAATAAAACTGAAGAAAAAGTCGAAACTATCATTATACCAAAGCAAGTTGTATGTAAAAGAGCAGTTTGAAAACAAACAGTTGGTGTTGTTATGTTTTCTTCTATACCAACTTCGATGGCGTAAGAGTGATCTCTTGAAACATTTGGTAAAGCGAGCAGATCCGTTTGACGAACAAAGAAATTCCCGTGAAAAGCAGTCATACGCAGACCTAATCAATATTCAAAATGAATGTATGCATCATTAAAGGAAAAAAAAATTAAAATTAAAATTGCTACAAATAATCCTTGTTAAAGATTTTTACCTTTTGAAGCTCTAACACGCATTACTGCTTCCAATGCAATTGGACTGGCCAAAAATTCTGCAAATTCATGGGCAAACTTAAGAGCATCTTCTGATCTACCAGCATTAAATGCAGGATAAAAATAAGTTTGTCCACCAGTGTACCGCGGACAGCAACCTTGTATTTCATAAAAAAATAAATAAACCTGTGAACATCAATTATAGATAATGCTTTATTATAAGCGTTAAAAAACATACTTAATGTCGCTACATCAGAATACTGTGATCCGAGTAAGAACATGTCCACACAAACTTGTGATCGAGAACAATCAACAGCAAATTTTTTATAAAAAGGCTCTGCAGATTGTAAAAGAGAAGATTCCTGTGCAAATAGTTTAATGATAAATTTAATGCCCAAACACGCTTTCGACACCATAAGGTAATGCATAAAATACTTTTGGAGTCCCCAATGCTTTAGAATCTTCTCGAGTTTTCAATTGTCCAGGATTAATATTTGGTAGACTAGACTGTAACACTACGATTTTACCACCTATCGGAGACTAAATTGCAAATAATTAATGGGAATATAAGTAAGCTTACAAAACCAAAATAAAACCAACCAAAATCACTATAAAAGATATATTACAATTAATTTGAAGCCGGCCAGCAAAGCAGATCCCAGAGCGTTGCCGACAATATGTGTATCTTTGAACATATCACCAAGACGACTAAGCAACGACTCAACTACCGAACGAGCTTCAGTTAAATTTACTAATAAATCATCGGGTTGTGGAAGAAACACGTCTTCAAGGTCAGAAACAACCAACATTTGAGGTTCAGATGAGTTAGACTAAAAAAAATTTCACATATGTTTAATGATGAATATTCTTCAAATAAAGCTTGATTATTTAAAAGAAATAAACAGGTACATTAAGACTGTAAAAGTGTAATGATGTATCCACTGTGATAAACCCGATCTTTGTACGATTTTCTTCGTTAGGTATTCGATCTAGTGATTCCAAAATAGTCCTTGCAGCAGTTGCGACAGCACCTTTAAGAATATATAATCATATTTAGATATTTTGAATAACGTAAAATATTTACAATTTAGAACAATAATATTGTTCAAAAATAAATTAAACACTCTATATTTTCGTAAATATGTATTTCTGTCTTTACTTATTCGAGAAACAGTGCATCAGAACTGATTTCTTAAATATATATACCACCTACCGGACTGTACAGCAGGATATGATACATCGATCACAAATAAATATACTGGTGGTTGAGGTGGACGGACCTTTATATCATAAAACAGGATTAGTATGAAGAAATATTATAATGTCACAAATTTTTTTTTAGTTACCATGTACTCTGTAGGTGCTACAAATTCAACAACAGCATGGTTTAGTTCCGCTCGTTTCCATCGATTTGCTTGTTGGCTAGTTTGTAAATCCCAATCAAACTGTGATGGTACTATAAATAATATTAATATAATTTGAACGTTATGTTATATATAAGGCGATGAAAAATTAAGAATTCATCGTATTACCTTCGTTTAACAAGAAACACAAATTACATCTCCATTTTTGTCCACCTTCAACAAAAGTAACAAAAGGATTAATATAGGTTCTGCACCTTCGGCATCTTGCAATAACGGTATCTGTGACCACTGGAATTGGTTCCTACAAATGTGACAAAGGCTAATATTAGCAAACTGAATACATAACAAACGAACAGTGAATGGTATAATACTTACATCACCCTCTTTCAAGCTTCTATAAGGGGTAATAATAAGACCAAATGGTAATCTGGATTTGCTGAGAAGATTTGCTGTAGCGGGAACACAATTAAGAGTACATCGTTTATAAGATGGGTCACAATTCGCTTTGTCCGATGGAGTGACAGACGCCTTAAATCAGAAAAAGGCAATGAACATTGACGAATTCAACACTATACTATTTATTGGGATGCTCAAAGGAATAACAATCTATGCATATGTGACTTACATTAGGTGGTAAATTAATAGGTGGTGGTGGAGCATCCAGGTCTCCGACATTTGGCGGAGTACCGATCAAGTTAACGGTAATCAATTGAGCCTTTATTCAAAATATGATCGATTTTGTAAATTAATCCTATCAGATCGAAATTTGTGCGAAAATAGTTTTATGCACCTGTGAATGTCCCCCGAGATTCATATTGTTTAGCTGACTCGTCAAACCACCCATTGAAGCATTCATTGCAGGTTGTTGTGGATATTGTTGAGAATAATGAGCGGGCGTCATCGAAGGCATCGCTGCCTGATAATTCTGATCTCCAGCTGGTGTAAAGAATTGTGGCTGCTGGTACGCATTCTGCTCAATGGCTGGTGGTTGTATCTGCTGCCCAATGCCACCGGGTGCCACTGCAGGAGTAAAAGTCTGATATTGTCCACCGTACGTGTTAGAATCTGTATAGGCCTCCGAGATTTGCTTCGGATATAGACGTTTCGGTTTATGACTTGTCGAGGGCGGTGTTTGAGAACGTTGACCTGTTGGAGATTCTGGACTCTCTACAGGTAGTGGTGGTGATGTCGAATTTGCTGGCATTGCTTGATAGTTATGACCCATAGTTGTTTGATTTGGATATGATAAAGGACGTCCCGAAGAGGTTTGCGGTAAATTTCCAGGCCTGAAGGCTGGAGAAGCGGTTGGCCTTATTCCTGACTGAGGTGGAATGGCAGGCTGTCCAGGTGACATTCCTGGAGGTGCACCAGTATATGGAGCCTGAGCAGAGGGTGGGCGATAACCTGCTGGTAAGGGTGGCGATGGACTCATACCGGGCATTGGAGGTCGCGTTTGAGGATTAATTCCACCAGGAGGTCCATAGGGAGCAATAGGTCTTTGATTGACAGATGCACCACCAGGGCCAAGAGGTGTAGATTGATATGGAGAAGGTCCTCTTTGTATTTGCTGTATTTGCTGGTTGGGATCTGTAGCCTGCATCGGGCGAGAATTTGGAGGCGAAGAAGGAGGGCGGGATAGGGGAGACTGGCTAGGTGGAATGTTGGACATTTTTTTACGTGTGTAGAATTAAAGCGTCGAATTTACATAAAGCAAAATGTATTCGGAACGCAAGTCACAGCCGACAAATTGTTCGATTTCCGGCAGCTCTAAGAGAAGTGCCAACCTATCAAATTTGCCCAAGTGGCATAGAATACTTTTCCCACGGACAATATTCTATCCAGTCTTACTATTTATGGAACAACCAGATAACGATAAATGTTCGTACGTACGTATACTGATTTTAAAATCTCGAAAATTTTTTAAATACTTTTTTTGGATTTCTTTTAAATGATAATGAAAACTTTTCATTTACTTACCAAAAGTATCAAGCAACCTGCATACATAGAATAAAATTTAAATTTTTTATGCTACTTTAAAGCTTAAATAAAAATATATTTATTTGATAATACTTGAATATTAGTTAAATTCATAACATATACTTTTTTATTAATAACACTAACCCTAAACATTAACCTAATTGTAAAAACAATCTTCAAAAATTTTATAATTCATAATATATAAAATAGATTAAATTCTTAGCATTAGCTGTCACAATAATTTTTTTTGCTAGCAGATTTTTATTAATATATATACAGTATATATAGTACAGTATATATATACTGTATATATAAGTTATTTATAAGTTACTATACAATATATAAGATCTTGATTAATTGTTTCTTATAACCCAGCCAGGTCAAATTTTGAAAACTTTTGAAGAAAAATTTTTTATATATTTTAATAGTCAGGTGGGTTTTAAAAAAATCATATATATAAAATTTAAAAAAAAAAGCCGGCCGGCCAGGTTATTTTTAAAATTTAATATTATAAAAAAACAAAAAATTAATTTTGTATAGTTTAATCTTTATCATATTTATACTATATTTATATAATATACAGTATATATATACAATATGCTATGGTAATACAGTATAGACAAACTTAAATCTGATTTATTTATATATTGCTCTAAGTTCTAGTATTCAGATATCAAATTTAATATACATAATATAGAGAGTTTAACTAAAAAACTTTGATTTTGTAATCTTGAATATCTCTATATATACAAGACTAGTCAAGATATTTTTTATAATTCTAATTACATTCTTTAAACTAAAATCAGATATTATATTACCTTGACAAAAAATATTAAATACTAATATAAAATAAATTAAATTTGTATTTTTTAATGTGATTTATTTTATAGTACTATAGCATTGTGATGCCATAGTGCTATAGTGCTATAGTTTTATATATACTTTATTATATTTTTATATACATTTTAT